AGCATTTCTTTAAGAAATTTTTAAATGTTTTTTTGCAAATCTAGAAATTTTTTAAGCTGTTATTTTTTGATATTTTCTTTGTCTCCCCAACTGTTTTTTGTAACACAATATTTTCAACAATCTCAGTTTACATTTTTTAAATTTGAGCATTTCTATTTGAGAAATTTTTAAATGTTTTTTTTGCAAGTCTAGAAATTTTTTAAGCTATTATTTTTTGACATTTTCTTAGTCTCCTCAACTGTCTTTTGTAACGCGAAATTTTCAAAAATCTCAGTTTCCATTTTTTAAATTTGAACATTTCTATTTGAGAAATTTTTAAATGTTTTTTTGCAAGTCTAGACATTTTTTAATCCGTTTTTTTTACATTTTCTTAGTCTCCCCAACTGTTTTTTTTAACACGATATTTTGAAAAATCTCAATTTACAGTTTTAATTTTTTTTTTTTGGAAATCTAGAAATTGTTTCTAGGCATTTCCTTAGTGTAAATATTTTTTTGCAAGTTTAGAAATTTTTTAAGATGTTATTTTTTGACATTTTCTTAGCCTCTCCAACTGTCTTTTGAATCGCGAAATTTTCAAAAGTCTCAATTTACATTTTTCAAATTTGAGCATTTCCATTTGGGAAATTTTTAAATATTTTTTTGCAAGTCTAGAAATTTTTTAAGCCGTTATTTTTTGAGATTTTCTTAGTCTCCCCAACTGTCTTTTGTAACGCGATATTTTCAAAAATCTCAGTTTCCATTTTTTAAATTTGAGCATTTCTATTTGGGAAATTTTTAAATGTTTTTTACAAGTCTAGAAATTTTTTAAGCTGTTATTTTTTGACATTTTTTTAGTCTCCCCAACTGTCTTTTGTAACGCTATATTTTCAAAAATCTCAGTTTCCATTTTTTAAATTTGAGCATTTTTATTTGAGAAATTTTTAAATGTTTTTTTACAAGTCTAGATTTTTTAAGCAGTTATTTTTTGACATTTTCCTAGTCTCCCCAGCTGTCTTTTGTAACGCAATATTTTTAAAAGTCTCAATTTGCATTTTTTAATATAAAAAANAATATTTTTAAAAGTCTCAATTTGCATTTTTTAATATAAAAAAATTTTAAATATTTTTTTGCAAGTGTAGAAATTTTTTAATCCAGTACATCTGTTAAAAAAGTGCACAAGTGTTAAAAAAGAAAAAAAAAGATGGGGTTATTCTGATGTTTTTTGCGGAAGTTTATTAGATTTTGCATAAATTTCATCTCGAAAAAAAATTATTTAATTTTTTCGAAAATTGCTTTCTAGCTGACAATTTCCGGCCGTATTTGACCTCATTCCAAGGCAACAACTACACGGATTACATCAACGCCGTTTTCGTCGATGTGAGTCATTATTCTAGTCGGGGGAAGTCCCTAAATTGGGTTTTTGCAGGGTTACACCAAACCTCGGGAGTACATCGTGACCGAATGGCCCTTGAAATCGACTTGTGGTGAATTTTGGTCGCTGGTTTACGACTACGAGTGTTCAGCTGTTGTCGTTCTTTGCGTTCCGCCGCATAATTCGGTAAGGAATTATGTAAAGTGGGATTAATGCGATTCGTAATGCGATTAGCGACGCTTTATTGCTTATTATCGGGTGGGAGAAAAGGGATTAAGGGCAGCGACACGGAAAGGGATTTTTAGGGAGTGGTGATCCATCATGGGAGGAAAAGTGATGGATTATTTATTGTGAGCTTATATTACTTACCTTTACCTACAAGAAAATTTCTGGAAAAAAAGGAAATAATTAATCAATCTTTAACTCACCAAAATTTTAGAATTTTAGGACAATTTTTTAATTATTTTTTTTTTAATAGATTCAACAAGATATATTGATTTTCAATAATAAAGACGTATACCGACGCAAAAAATTATGCAAAGCGGGCGAAAAAGTATTTTTCCTTTGAAAAATGAGCTAGAAATATTTCAACAAATTCTAAGATCGAACTACAAAATTGTGTTTGATTGCTTTTTTGACATTTTGCTTTTCAAAAATTGGTAAAATAGAAGTTTTTGTTACTAAATTTAATAAATATCAATATGAGAAGTCTAAATTTTACTACAAAATCTAGGTTTTCGCTAAAAAATTCTGTTTTTAAAATATAGCAACTTTCACATTGCAATTCCTGTTTACTGAAATTTTCTCACATTGTATTGGCTTTATTGTAATTTTTAACAAGAAATTTACTACAAAATTGGGTTTTAATTATGTTTCGGCTGAAACGCATCCTGAAATTTTCAGATAATTTAAATAATTGGGAATAATCTATTAAAATTTAGCTTTCATATTACAGGGCCAAGAATGAGATTTTTTTTATCTACTTTTTAGTTTTTTGAAAAACAGATACTCTTTTTTGAATTTTTTTTTGATTCATTTAAAACACCAATTTCCACTTTGCTGTGGTTTTATTTTTATTGGTTAAATATTGAGAGCAATTTTTAGATTTTTTCAATTAGTGGATTTTTTTAAGAAATTTTTTATTTAATTGATCACTACTTAGTTCGTAATTATGTCAAATATTGTCCTGCAATAACTACAAAGTGTAAATTCTCAAATCTTTTACTTTGTTTTTAAAAGTTTCATGAAAACATTTGTGTTTGTATTTTTTTTCGATTTTCTTCGAATTGAATTCTGTGCTAAAAATAATTTTGAGAACAACTGACTTGAACCCTGAAGATGATAAAAAAAACAAAACACGCGTTTTTTACTATTACAAAACATTCTGACGTAAAACTGTGTAAAAACGCATTTTTGTTCGTTTCGTTCTTGAAAAAATTATCACTGAAACAGTTTTTTGACGTTTTTCTAACGCGATTTTACGTTTGGTTTCATATTTTTGACTACT